ACTTGCCAATCAGATGAAAGCTAAATCAATAAAATAAAATAAAACATCGAAACAAACAATAATAGTCTTTTACTTCAAAAGCAAGTTCATGTCCACGCCAAATCCAAATACCAGCAATAGTATTATTATTATTTTCACCAAAAACACACATACTAGCAAATGCATGTTTACGTAATTTATCTAAACGTTGAAAAAATCCTGATATTAAATTACATGTCATAAATATTTGTGTTAAATCTTCCGGATATTTATATTCACAAAACCATATTGAACAATGTTGCTTATCAAAATTTGTCCAAAAATAAGGTATAGCTTTTTCAGCTGTATCTTCATTTGAATAAACACGTTTAAATTCATCCATATTAAATGTTGGTTTAGGCATATCAGCAAATGGATCCTTTTGTTTTGGTTCATTGGCATAAACTTCATCAGTTTCATCATCACCAGCATTGGTATTATCATCTTCTTTTTGTTCTTTTTCTTTACTTTTCGTTGCAGGTTTTTGTTCTTCTTTAGCGGATTTTTTTTCTTTTTTAGATTTTACTTCTTCGACATGTTCATGTGAATGTTGTGATAAATCTTTTGGACGTGGTTGAGTTTGAGGTACATGATTTCTATGTGAAAGTTCAGCAAATTTCTTTGCTGTAAAAACAAAAAAAAAACTACATATTCTCGTCTTCAAAATTCATCTCGAATAAATCTTTCACTGGAGATCATCGGATCCTAAACTTTTGGATCCGAACTCGAACCGTACTTTTAATATCAACGAGATTTTTTTTACTCGACGTCTGATAGTCGCTTCAAATTCTACTACTAACACATTCTATACATTTGAAACCTTTATCTGTTTAAAAAATAACTTCATACTACTCTGAAGTCATATTTAATTTTTGGCTAGATGAGATAAATAGACTGTATTGATTGCTTTAAGGCAACACATAATAGACGTTCAGTAAAGAATTATTAACTTTCAATATTCATAATAGGACATTGACAAAGGTATTGTTAGACTTTTTCAAACGTTTCGCTTTATAGTATATTGAAAATTTCTTTTTGAAATGTTAATTTCTATCTTTAGCCAATCTAAAAATTGATTTGCTTGATCTTTTTGCAAACGCTATTCTCAAACAAAACAGAAAACTTCAAAAAACATTTCTTTATTCTAAAGTTTCATATTTCGACTTTCGAACATATTACACGGGAAGGATTTTGACTTGAAAATTTATACAGAGACAATTCTTAACGAGAATAGTTCATTGTGAAACTTTCAGATCGCTTAATTGGTATGAACTATGTAAACAGTTTTTCTGTTTGCAGTATTTTCTATAGCAATAAGCTACACGTCTAAAGTCATTTGGATCTATATGATGCACATAGTCTCGAGTCAGAAACGATTTGAGTTGAAGAATTTCTCTGGTTAGTCAATTAAAAATTTGTTTTTTCTTTTTTTCCAAATGAATCTTACCATCAAATATTGCTGTTTTTTCACATAATTGAAAATTAGTACCAATAACTGTTTGAAATTCTTTTTGATTAATTAATGTTAAAAACCATCGTGTTAAATTTGGATGCGTGTCACGCATACATGGTTCAATAATCTAAATATAATAATATAAAAAAATTTAAGAATTTTCTTATTGAAAATTTATACCCATTCAAATAATAAAAGTAAATCACAAACAATTGTAATATCAGCTAATGTAATACGTTCACCAACAAGATATGTTCGTGTACGAAGATAATCATTAAGTAATTGTAAAATAAGTTTAAGTTCAGCTTTAGCATGTTCATTATGACTTTTATTAAATTGTAATATACCCATACATGGATAAACTAATGTAGTTGATACTGGATATATTTCTCGTTCACTATATTCAATCCATTGAATAATTTCAGATTGTTCAACTAATGTTGTACCACGAAGTTGTTCATTTGAAACTAATTTATTTAAATGAAAATAAAATAAATTTGTTTTATTTTATTTTATTTTTTTTATGAGAACTTACGAAAATGAGCAATAGCATTAGATTCAAATAGATAAATACCAGCATCATTTTCATAGGCGGGTACCTTGAAATTCAAAATAATTTTGTAAAAAAACACAATAAAACAATACTTGTTGAAATATTCATACTTTGCCTGTTGGAAATTTACGAACATATTCTTCTGATTGATTAGTTTCATTCATTTTAAATTGATTTTCATTAGCAATAGTTAATTGTGTTCCACCATAACGAGCAGCAATTTGAGCTTTAAAACCATGAATATTACCAGGATAAGTATAAAGTGTCTAGAATAAATTAAATTTAACAATTGAATATGAACTTAAAAAACAAAATTCTTACACCGTTGCTCTTGTTTGATGCCATATTTTAGCTAGTTTTTTTTTTAAACCGAATAAGATATGATGAACAATCAAAAAAAATCTGAAATTTAAGTACAAAAACAAAAAAAAGAAGATTTACAAAATCTTGCACGTAAGATGACGACATAGAGTAAAGAATATTTCTCTTCTTGATTATTCTATTTATTGATTCGTCCATAAGTAAAAAGAAAATGGAGGTTTAATATTTATTAACATAACATTGGTTGCAAAGACGAACAAATGATGAAAGAAGAAAACAAATTTATGAGTGATGAAAGATTTCTTCTTTTTATTTTGTCAATCACAAAGTGATGCCGCGTAGTCGAAGTCGAAGTCCACGAGGTAAGTTTTATTTTAAATATCAATATTTATATCAATTATTATTCTATTTAATTTAGATCGATATGGTAGTAATCGATATCGTGGAGGTGGTGTAATAAATTCTGGAAATAATCGAAAACGACATAGTCGATCAAGATCACGATCACCAAGAGATCGTGAGCGAGATGGACGTAAGAAGAAAAAAAAAACAAATGACTAATTTAATAAATTTATTTATATTTTTTTCTTTGTTAGGCGATCGAATATATCGTGACCGTTATCAACAACGATCTGAACGTCCGAATAAACGTTATTCTCGATCACGTTCACCATCACCAAAAGCATTCGGAAATAAAATAGTCGACAAACGTCTTGAACCAACACAACGAATTTTTGATCGTAAGAAAAAAATTGTTTTTTTTTCTTTGTATTAATTTGTATTTTTATTTTAGCTTCGGAATTACAAGGTAAAACAGAAGATGAAATTGAAATGTTAAAAACAATGGGTTTTGCATCATTTGATACAACTAAAGTAAATTATTTCCTTTTCTTCTTTTTTTTCTCTTGTAAATTTTAAGTTCAAATTTTTAGGGTAAACATACAGATGGTTCAACAAATGCTCATGGAACTAATATTCAACAAAAACGTCGTTATCGGTAAGTAATTTTTCATTTGATTTAATTATTTTTTATTTAAATTTTCTCATTGTTTTAGACAATATATGAATCGAAAAGGTGGTTTCAATCGTCCATTAGATCCAATTGCTTAAATAATGTATCTTAACTCGTATATAAACGTTTCATTTGTTGTTGTGGTTTTTTTTTTGTTCGATTCAGATTTGTACAAATTGTTGCGTAATAAAACGATATTATTATCTTTGTTTTCTTTTTTTGTGTTTTGTGTATCTCATATTAATATAGATAAATCTTTTGCAGAAATGGATCGTCTATATACAACACATAAGCCAACAAATTTAGTACAAAAAAGTATTTTAGCAGTTGGCTCAGGTATCGCATCTATATTAGATCCATCACGTGATGATATGATATCAATATTTGGTGAAACAACAGGTGTTTTAGCTTTAAAATATCTACAAGAAAGAATGATTATTGATCCGGAAGGTGATGAAATTCTTAAGTAAACGAAATTTTTATTTTTATTTTTATTTTTGGATTTAATATGTTGTTTTGTTTTTTTTTCATAATAGAAAACGACCTGCTATAAATAGTAAAACAGTGGATTTGAATTATTTGAAAACACTTCCTGCTGGTACACTTGGCAAAGAATATTCAGATTTTTTAGTTAAATATGTATGCTATTGAAGATTTATTATTGTAGTTTTTAATTCATTTTCTCTAATTTTGAGAGAATTTGACACCTGATGCACGTCGTCCAGTTTCATTTATTGATGATGTTGAATTAGCTTATATCATGCGTCGTTATCGTGAAATTCATGATTTAACTCATGTTACACTTGGCATGCCTATCAATATGCTCGGTAGGATTTTCTTTTTTTGCTAATTTTATTTTATTTCCAAAAAAAATCTCTAGGTGAAGTTACTGTTAAATGGTTTGAAGGTATACAATATGGTTTACCTATGTGTGTACTTGGTGCATTTTTTGGACCTCTTCGTCTTGGACCAAGACACACAGCAAAATATCTCTATTTAACATTACCATGGGTAGTACGTATTGCTCGTCAATCACGTCCATTAATAAATGTTTATTTTGAAAAACATTGGCATAAACCATTAGCTGAATTTCGTCGTGAACTTAATATACTTGAACCTCCACCTAAAATTTGATTATACGAGATATATTTGTTATCCCTGCTAGTCTGTACTTATCAAAACAATCTTTAATAAAAACAAAATTGTTTGTTTGTTTTTTTTTTACAAATAGACGCTCAATTAAAAGTGTTATAGATTTACATACATTAATAAACATTATTTGAATGTAGATATTTAGTAATAAGTAAACTTATACTCGGAACCAGTACTGGCTCCAGTCATTGTCAAAATCTCAGCTATAAACATTGAGCTAACATTTTCCCATCATACGATTAGAGTCTTGGATCTTAGGATAACTTGCAGCTGTATTAAATAATTTTTTCAAGTAAAATTATTATTCATTTCAAAAAAGAGTTTTCGCCGTTAGAAGGAGCATGAGCCGGGGATACAAGTCCACCTGAGAATCACAATACTTGAGAAATTTTCTAGGAGGTTTCAGGGTTTTCTGGAAAATAACTATCTGATTAGGTATATTCATCAGTGAAATTGAAAATACAACTAATCAAGCAAATCAGACAGTGATATTCCAAAAAACCTCTAGAATCTCCTAGAAAACTTCTCGAGTATTTTGATTCTCAGGTAGACTTGTATTCCTCCGCTTATGCTCTTTCTAATAGCAAAAAAATTCGAGCTCAATAACTATCAGCGTTGCCAAATTATTCAACAAACAACTGAGTCCACTCTTTTTTTTGAAATGGATAATAGTTGCTGCGAGTTTCTATTTTGTAGAACTGATTGCTTAATTGATATATTAAGTATAGTGATTTTTTTTCAGTATGTCAACCGGCTGATTCAGTCAAAAAATAATTCTCTTAGTTCTAAGTATAAGTAAACTTGTTCGTCTCTATGAAATGAAGTTTATACTTAAATTGGTTTGTCTTATCTGAATTATATCATATTAATCGAACTATCTTTTATTTTTTCTAGATATTTTCAACTTTTATAAATTTGATGTTTTGTCAATTGACCAATACACAATTAATGAATGACTACGTGCTATGCTTCATCATTCAATACATTTTATTAAGACAAAAAAAAAATACTACGAGATGCAGCATGTCAAGTTCTTCATATGATAAAAACTGTCGATATAGCGACAATCAATCGGTGGTAGTGTGAACTAAACATACAACATAGTTTTGTTTTTTGAGTGCATAATGAATTTTTTTTCTTATTCAATCAAGCAGTGAACCATAGTTTGTAATTATATCCTATTACATTTTATTGATGACAATGTCTCAAATATAATAATTTAAAATATTGAGATTAGCACTATTTAGTAGTCATGTGTTATTGTTTATAAAATTCTTTTCGCACTATCTCCATGATGCTGGTTGTATGTATATTGCGTGCTATTATCTTATTGACATCATCACCTAATACCCATTTACCTTTACATTACGCATATGAAAGAACAACTGTAATAGAATTTTTATGCAAAAAAAAAAAGAAAAAGAATGTTTCTTCATCGGATTAAATATATAATTGAAGATGTAAGATCGTTTTTCGAAGCATTTAACCATATCATAATTCTCTTAAGATATTTAGTCTTTTAGTTTATGCTCCGTTGTTCGATTATTTCCTGTCGACTAGTCATATAAACACACTCTAATGAAAAAGAATTCTTTCTTTTTTTTGTTAGTGAATTCAATTTTCTTTAATACTGGTCAGAAGATAGACGATAGTTTTAGTCTTATTTGGATTACATGTGGACTTTTTCATACTGCATTATTATGATATATATATATATATATATTTTGATAATTCCCATCCGTTATATATTAATACTTATCTGATGATCAAATATACTATTAAAAAGTTCGAAGTAACTAGAGATTTATTAATTACATTAACTGTTTTGTCTTTTTATCGTATATTTATTCTTGTATATATGTATATATCTGTCATACTCGTTGTCCTTCGAGAAACAAAAAAAAAAGGAAAAGAAAAGAGAACTTTTTCTACTATGAGTAGATGATGATGATGATGTATTTTGCTTTCTTTGTTTCAGATTGGTTATGACAAACATCGTCGTCGATTTTTCTTCTTTCCATTGCTATGCTTTCAATCGATCACTTGCTTTGCCTCTCGCCAGCCGGTTTCTTATCTTAACGATACTGCCGTGTGTTTGACACTCATGCGCATGCTTGATGCCGAATGTTGCTTACATATTCTCTCCTTTTTTTCCCTTTTATATATCCATATATAGATAGATAGATAGATAGATTTATGTGTATATTTCTAAGAGTCATCATCTACCGGTCTCGATGACAAATCAGCGAATAAACTAGAAACCACATATCTCTCTTCTTCTTCTTGTTGTTGTTGTTGTGTGCATATATTGCTTGTTGTCTGTCAATCCGCTCATTGAATGCAAATAAGATTGGGTAGGTTAGAATGAACATTTGACATTTTCATCATCTTGTCATATATATATATACATTCACGGGTAGTTTTTTCCTATTCGATCTGTCTTGATGAACATTTATTTGTATATATATATATATACATCCCAATTTTGACATCATCAGCTGTCATTAGAAAAGGTAAACAAATAGAACGTAAGAAGAAAAAAGAAAAAGAACTTCTTTATTTATTTATTATTCTCATTTTAGATTAAATCGTCTGTTATTATTTAGCTCTTTATGTCACAATCATTTCTTATGTCTTATAATTTTTGTATATATGCGTGCGTGCGTCGTCCAAAAAGCAATGTAAACGGGTGGTAGTTGTAGTAATAATAGCGGTAGGATAGTAGAGAGAAAAAAAAATGGAGCAAAAAGAAATGAATAGTGTGTGCGTTGTCGTCCTCGTCTATAATATGATCGCAGCATATCTTCACTGACATACACAAACATGCGCGAAAGGTTATTGTTTTCACATCTTCCCTCGACGACGACAACTACAGCCAATTCAAGAAAAAAAAAGAGAAGTAGATGTATACATTTATATATATATATATAAATGTATGTGTGTATTATCTTTCATCATACTGTTTATAAAAACTAAAGAGAACGATAGATGACCATTATTGAATTTGTTAACGAAAGAAAAAAAAAAGTGTTACTATTGACCGGGCTTGAATAAGTAAGCGGTCAATCAACAGACAATTACTCAGATCACTGTTGTTTTATTCAGACGAGAAAAAGAAAAAGAGGAGAAAAAAAAAAGAGAGAGAGACGATTTCAGATTCAGCTCGACAAATCATCAACATCATCAACGACAGCAGCATCTTCCTCTCTCTCTCTCTCTTTTGCTTCACAATGGTAGGGTGTATGCCAATGCTCTTTTTTTCTCCTTTTTCTTAGTCTATCTGCCTGTCTGATTGTTGTTGTGTGTTACTATACGAAAGATGTGGTGTGTGTCTCTCCATAAAAGATATAAATCTGCTTATAAGAGAAACAGGGCAGACAATGACGATGTATATGTGTGTATATGCAAACGCGTGTCGATGATAGGGAGTAGAAAAAAGAGGGTACAATGACGCAGAAACAACGAACGGTTTTGTTTAAATGCGAAAACCTGAAATTCAGAACAGCTACGCAAATGAAGGAGAGAGAGAGAGAGAGAGAGAGAGCAAAAAAAAGTTATGTGCTCGCCTTTTCTTAATGTGTATGTGTGCTGTCATTCATTCTCTTCTTCTTCTTCTTCTTCTTCAATGCCATGGTACGCACTGTACACACCGGCATGACACAAACGGTATGTACACGGAAAATTACTATTATTGCTCGTGACTTGTATGTTGATGATGTTACTCGTTGCTTGACTGTCAAGTAATGAAAATAGGTAAAAAGTGTAAAAGAAAAGAGAATTTCATTGAGTACTCCTATTGATGTTCGACAAACCACGTGTACTTATATAAAATATATATGTGTGTGTACGTTTAACAAAAGAAGAAGAAAAAAAAGAAAGAAAGAAACTAAGCAATGAAAAATGTGCAAGTAATCGAGATATATATACAATAGATGTGCTGCTTGTTCGTCAATTTGTCTGCTTCATTCACATACATACGAATACAATAATGCACACGTCAACATCAAAACGCAAATAGATGAAGAAAAAAAATATATAGAAACAATTCGTTTGCTTCGTCTCTCTCTCTCTCTCTCTCTCTCCTTTTTCTCAATAGTTTGTCTGCTTTCTTACATTCATCCATTCTTTGTCTTACTCTTACGATTAGAAGTCAGTACTTCTACTATTACTCTATGACTAGCATCATACACTATTCAACATGATCATTATCATCAGTTAGACAAGCAGCGAACGAGACTAGCGTGCAAGAACGTTTTTGTTTCGCAAGAAAAAAGGGAGAATTGCCCTTCTTGACGTTGACGTTGTCGTCGTCTCTTCTGCTATTGAGCATTTTACTTGTTCTTGTCTCTGTGTATGTGGCGGGCAGATACTGTTTCCGGTTAATTGCGGCGGTCGTCGTCGATTTTTTCCTTCTTCTTTTCACGCACACTCACACATGCCGCTCATTTTCTTTTTTCCCTTATTTTTATTGCCAAAAAAGAATAACGAGAAATATTTTTATTCTTTATATATATAGATATATATATATATATATATATAGGTATTAATTTTAATTCTTTCTACATTCTTTTTTTCTATTTCTTATATCATAACTCATCTTTTTCCTTCAAACTTATTTGTTGCATACCTTTTTTTTTCTTTCTTCTCTAATAAAAAACGTTTTTCTATTTCCTTTATTCTTCTTCTTCTTTTTTTTTGTGTTTTACACACGCAAACTAACTCAGCTCTTCCCTCCATCAAATGTCATCACATTTATAAGAAAGAAACTTTAGTTAGGGATTCTAGAAGAAAATCAACACATACACATACACTCAGGCAACAAAATCAAATTAAGAGACATACACATAGTTTATATGAATGTATAGAGAAGAAAAGTGTCAATAATGGATGTTGAACGTACAACGACGGCAAGCGGGCACAACCTTGTATGAGTGTTCGTTTTTCTCTCTTTCTCTCTTTATCCTCCTCATGCCACTATTACT